CACTTGTGAAGGAAAGGATAGTTTTTACTACACTCAAGGTAGGACTACACCACCATGCCTATAGGTCAAGTTAAGACTGACCACATCAATAATTCAACAAAAACTGTACTTCTACAATGTAGTCACTGAAGAGCAAAGTTCTTAATGCCTTAGTGGAATGGTAAAGATGCTTGCATTTTATTCAGATCAACAGTTTTGTTCCTCATTAGATTTTACAATCTCAAAATTAAGACTGAAAAGTTTATCCAAAACATGTTGGGTTTATTATAAGTTGAAATGAAAGAGTTCCTTATGGATTTGAAATGAATATTTTCAAGGCAGGTAGCAAACTTTTCATACCTCTGTGAACGAACACAAGCTGTAGCAAGTAAAAATTTTTTAGGCGATATTCCTTCACATCACACAAGAAAAGTGGAAACTAGCAGTATTTAGTACAAATTCTGAACTGAGATTATCGGTACTAGGTTTCACTACACAGGAACTTGCTTCCATTTACCTTTTATTGAGCATAAAATTCAACTTTTAAAAATACTCCGGTTTAGTTGGAACCCAAAACCCCAATACAACACTTGATATTCCCCAAACAATCTGGTAATTTCCTCCAACACGAGAACGTCACCCCGAGTGTGAAATTTGTAAAATTACCATAAGAAATAAAGTGACAAATGACAATAGCAATGCCACAATGCCGAGATGGAAGAAACAGGTAACAGTTGAGATAATTCCGATTTTGTTTCTGGCGCGGGGTTCCGAACTGGGATATCCCCGATTATGTGGTGAAGTTTGACTGAAAGAATCAGGCATTTACCAGCTTCACTGGACTCAGATGGGAATTTCAGATAGCTTGAACAGTGGAAAACTCAACCCTGTCACTGTGGGTGACACCTGCGGCAAACATTATGCATAATCCCTGGCCCCTCTGAAGTGCATAGTGCCCCCAAATATGGATACTTGATACACATATGTATTTATACATAGTTTGGCATTACTGCTGGGTAAAGGGGGCCTTCCTCATGGATAATTCATATTTTACACAGCATTGCAAGTGTGTGATTGAGCCTGTCAAAATTTCTGTTGCAAAGTTAGAGTTGATAATACATGTTTCAGCACACTGGTCATTATTGATGAATTTGACAGCAAGTTATTTGGGAAGCTGCTGATTGCAGTGGTTAAATTTTAAAATAGTGAAGAATCCAGCATAAGATGTCCTTGCAGAGGTCTATTGTAAGTCCTAATTCAAAAAGGCCAAAGTTCTTTTTGAAATGTTTTTCACTCTAGAGGATTAATGTGGTTATAATAACTGGAAATTAAAGAGATGATCTGCCTCTACGGATCTTTTGTACATCTCCAAAAATATGCTCCAGGTAAATACTTTATGATAAACCTGTGAACTGACGTGAAAATACTGAGGACTTATGAGGACAAGAATTTGCCTGAGGTAATTATCTATTTATTTATTTAAAATTAAGAAAAGGAATGAACTTCATCCTCAAATAGTGATATGAATAAGGTTTCAATTTATCTGTCAGTACATATACTTATTCAGGTGAAAAAACCTGAGGACAGCTAAGGACAGTATTTTATTTATCATATAGGGATTAAACAAGTACAGGGACATGCATTTAGCTTTTAATAAAAGGTAATTTGCCCAATGGCAAAAACATAGTCCAGTACAGGTTTAAATTGTGTTCTTTTAACCATCACAATGGATATAGCAATTTTACCAATGGTGGAAACTTGACATTTTCAGTAGGTAGTAGATATGTAAAATGTGGATGATACCAGTGATGATTTTATGTCTCTAATCATATGTTAGTGCTTAACTTAAGGTCAAGAATTAAATACAGGTCATGTTTCCATAATAACACCTAGTTTGCCTATTTATCCAAAATTTAAAGTCATATATATTTGCTAATAACCCATCCCGCACATATTCATCTATGATATATACCTTTGTATTGTATTGTTAATGGGGAGTTTAATAAACTGACCAGCTGTTAGGATTTGACCACAATGTCCATAATTAAACCAATCTTGAAAGGTCACCTGTCTAGGTCATTTAATAAGACTGTGTCATATGAATGTACCAGTATGTCATGATATGAGACAATATCAGGGACAACAATACAGTTATGCTGTAACCATGGCAACACCACAGCAATACCCTGAGTTTCAATACTTACCTAAAACCAAATGTGCAAAGAATATTTTGATTATTTGTATCAGACCTCATGTATTCGGACAAATGAATTGAAAATGAAAGTTTCTATTAATTTGCTAAAATAACCGGACTCAACATGACTCCAGTAACAGATACAAGCTGGGATTAATTAAACACTAGGCACATCCTTAACTTAGCACCTGAAGATGCAGATGTCACCTTAGAGTAACCCTTAAACCCAGGTGACAGCAGTGACATCTATAGCTCCCCAACTCCTTCAACCACTTCTGCTTTGACACTCGTCCCACTGAGGTGACAAGTATATCATCCAGTGAGGTGACAAGTATATCGTCCAGTATTGTCCAGTTAGGTAACCACGTCCAGTGTTGTTGAGTGTTAACAATAAGTGTCTTAACCCTGTTTGCACCTCTGCAGCAGATCACACTATTGTATTTTGGTGTCATTTCAAATATTGACAATTCTTGTGATTATATGTCCCCTAGATCTTTTGAGATATTAAGATGGTAGAGCCGCGTGTGCCTTTGTCTGTGTCCACACTTGGTGTGAAAATATGACAAGCATGTGTGATATTTACTGTGTTCTAAACCAAACAATTGGTTTATCTGTGTAAGACCTAGGAAGGGTTATTTCAAAATCATCTAAGCATAGTGTTCCGTTTTCAATGCTTATGATCCAAACAAGCAATATCGGCATGGCATAAAATATGGCAAGCATAAAATTTAATAAATAAATAAATAAATAAATAAATAAATAAATAAATAAATAAATTTCAAAACAGTACAGTAATTACATATATAATTCGCACCAGGTCCACCGATAACTTGTAGAAGTATGATTTATGTCAAGTGACTCTCTCACTAAGTACCAACACTTGTCTTAATGGATGCAATATGCCAACTAGTCTCATTTTATCAAAGTAAAATCTTAAAGATGTAATTTGCCTTCAATGGTCAGTTTACTGAGTGTCCAGTGTGGTGACTGACCACTGTCCTCCCACATACATTACTAGTGACCGGTCATATCAGGCAGGGATGTCCCTGTGCTAATGTACAATAGTGTTAACTAGATAGGGGTATGATTTCTCAGTACTCACAGGAAAAAAGGGTAATTTTTCAAATGTTAGAAAGATAAGGGTCACATGTTGAGTAGGTTGAGTGAAAATAAGTGTTATTTTTGATAGAAGATTGAGATATGGTAAACTGTTATAAGAGGAACAAATGACAATGTTAGTTTTAATAATCATCATGCTAGATATACAATTTATTCTGTCTATAGTAAGCTTATGCATAATTCATCATTCCATTTGTATTTGAGAGAGGAGAGGAGAATTAAGACTGTTATGAAGACAAGTAAAAGTGTCTCGCACAAACAGAGAGAGAGAGAGAGAAAGAGAGAGAGAGAGGAAGAGAGAGAGAAAAAAGAGAGAGCCAAGTTGGAGAAGGGAAGACATCAAAGAAATATAATAAAACAGGCGAACAATAACACACTTAGCCCCCCTCAGCATACATAATAACGATCTTCCTTTCTTCCATAATGCAACCACCCAACATGTAATTTCCCTAACAAAATGGAGAAATCCCATCACAAATCTTAAATACTAAATGTCATAATGAGTACCTTGAGTTCATTTGCCAGGTAATGGCCATGGCATCAGTGTCATCTGTGTCACATCTCCTGGATCTCTGTGTATTCTAATGAATGCACCGGCATATTTCTTATATAATTATCTTTACTTCATTCTAACTGAACCTGTAATTTCAGCACCGATATTAGTGAAACTGAATCTCCTTCCCATATTTCTATAGGTGGTGTATTATGAAAAGTGACAGTCACCAGTGTTGGCCTTGAAAGCTGGCCTAAATAGGGGCTGGAATATTTTATCAATTGGGCATTTAATTAATCTCTCTGACACATAATTAGGTACAACTGAAGCTTCCTCAAATTGCTAGACATAATGCAGAAGACAAAACAATCAGTCTCCATCTTTTCTCAAAATGTAAATATTTCAAACAGCATTGAGACAAAATACTTCCTGATCAAGTTACAATTACAATCAGCCCATATCAGTTTCACAGGTATGCAGACAGAATTATTATCTTGTCTCTTACAATGGTTTTAAAGCGAAACATCTTCAAAATACCCAGCAATAAAGCACTACTATAATGTCACGCACATGGTACATCCTTGCTTTGTGAATCACCTACGGCCATTATACAATACTTTCTATCTGAGACAGAAATACTTTCTGTGCGAGAAATACGATCAGGTCTTCTCCATTTCATTGCAAAATGGACAGAAATCGTCCCTGAAACAAGTACATGAGGGTCCGCATTAAGTATTAAATATGATATACCTCCTTCTGTGAAAGAGACACTAAGTCCGTTGTTACTCATCTTTATGAAATGGAAAATGACACCTGCTTCCACCACCCTGTGTTTCAAAGGTTCTTGGAAACTCATACCTTTATCCACAATACAGAGGTGTCAGGGTCCAGGGACTTTTGAAACTCAGGGTGCCTTGGAAAGGCTAATGAAAAATAACACAACAGTGCGATCTGCAAATATTTGGATGTATTGTTTAGTTAAACTATGCATGTTGACTGTCAGTGTTAGTTTTTCAAACAAGTTGGTTGAATCTGCATGTCAGTTTGATCACATGTGATGTTACTAAAGACTGATAATTGATATTGCATATACAATTATAATGTAATACTATTGAAATCATGTTGTAAGCAAAGCTGAAATGACCAACAACTTATCATTTTTTTCTATATAATTTGTACTTGATTTTTTCATAATTATTTGTACTTTATTTACAGAACCTGTCTACGGAAGTAACCTCAACATAGGTGCTGGAAGACAAGAAGAACACTGAATTGTAAGTTCATAATTCTAAACATTAATTTCAAAGAGACCAAAGTTCTGGTTCTTACAATGCTGTTAAGTACATCTACTGCAGTTAATGAAAAAAAAAGTATTGTAGTGACTATTTGTTTACAATGTCATGTTGAAAACCTTAAACAGCTTTAACTTTTCTGCTTTTTAACACATAGTAGCAAATTGTATCTAGTATTCTAGTATATATATATATATATCAATTGATGTACTATTCACATTTCTGCACAATATATACTTTGTTTCACCCATTTTTTTCAAACAACTCCCCAACAAAGCCTACTCTCATTCTCAATATACCCGTCCCTTCAAACGAAAAACAAGTGTCCCTGTTGCGACATCCATGAGCTGTAAAATAAAGGAGTGGGGAATAAACCCTCCCCCATATCGCGAGGCGACAATACAGTCTACCTCATGATAAAGAACGCTAAAATAACACACAGTCACATTCAAGTGGAGCCAATTAGTTTGACTTTCGGGCAATCAAGTCCAGCGGAGACCCACCAAAAAGGGAATCTTTTGTGATTCTGGTGCAATCAAGTGGGAGGGGAGTTCCTAAAAAAGAGAATCCATTGAGGTGAAAATAAAGCTCCCAGGGTAAAATAACAAGAAGTAAAATCAGAGCGAGTATTATCACTTGTATGGGTCCATTGCCCTCACAGCGGGTCAGAACGAGAGCGAACCTCCTGAAATATTTAGTCTTTGTGGGTAACAGATGCAAGGTAACAATGGGGAGCTAAGACCGTGGCTCATGGGCTAATAAGGATCAGGGGGTATCAGTCTAGGAGGTTGTTACAGTACTAGTGCATCAAAAAAAATTTGCTAGGACAGAAAGCATGTGTGTTCTTTACTAGGAAGATTGATAGCTGTCTTTGATGCATTTGATTTTTCAGCCCTTTTCTTGGAAGAAAAATGTGTTCAATAGTTGGCTATAATTTGTTGTTTTTCTATGAAAAATTCTCTGCAACTGTTTAGGTAACTAGCAATGGTAAAAATGGAAAAAAAAGTTAGGTGAAATTTAAAGTTACTGGACATTTTGAACCATGCATCTCAGCATTGGAATTTTCATCTCTATATAACTTGACCCCCCCCCCATCTCTCTCTTTTTCTTTCTCTTTCCATATATACGTGTGTGGGCAAAGGGTCAGTAATATAAACTCCATTCCATAACCATTAAACGAAGTTCAATCCTTTCCAGTTGAACACAATGGAAAAATACCTGCCTCATATAATTCAAAGTGAAAGGTAACCAGTAATTGCACAGATCATTAACTATACATTCTATGTTCCCTATATTTATATGTCCACTAAATCAGACTGCAGTGGTCATTATGAGAAATAGTTAATGGTTATTGGTTCTGGTGAGCAAGGGTCATATTATCTTTAACAGGGCTCAGTTATGAATTGATAATAGTTAAATTAAATTAAAACGTCATAACTAATAAAGTGTAAATTAAAACTGATTATCAATTACTTATGATGCAAATTTGCAAAACTTAATTGCTTTTACACAATATTTTTTTAACTTAAAGATCAATGCAAAATTTAGCTTTAAGTTATAAGGGCATCAATATGTAGAATAATTTCAAAATGCCTTAAATTCATAAAGGGAATCTTTTATCTAAGTTCATTATTTACCATATGAACAAGATGATACTGTAAATTAAATTTCACCAAGCTCCTTGAGAAATGAACATTTATTTGGAACTTCTGCAGAAGAGGTTACAGCTTGTTCCATTAGCCATTCGCAGTCAAAATATTGGTGCATTGTCAAAACTTATTGATTTATTGATGCCTTATTGGCATTTGATCATGGAGAGTAAGTGACCCTTAATCTGCACGAATTTGGATAGTAAGCCGTTGAAAAGGCCTGTATAACCAGACTTAACAATTCATGACAATTATTTTACAGTTTTTCAGCCCAGGAAAAATAGAAACATTTTTCGTCGCTTCCGTTCTCAAAGGAGGACGTCTGAACCATATGCAAAGTTGTGTTTTTAAAATCAACAAATACAAAGTTTGCTCTGCTACCTCTTATAACAAAAGTTTTCAAAGCTTGCTTCTTTAAAAAATCAACAATAACAATAACAGTTTGTATATGATCAGAATTCAAAGTCAATGCTTGCCATCATAAACTCATTTAAATCTTCCTGTTTATCTTTACTTCCTTGTCTTTTTCTTTATATTTATAGACAAAATATCATAAAATTTTTAGCAGACCTTTTCCAGCAAAAGGAACAATTCCTTTCGACCCTCCCCCCCCCCAATCCCCTGCCTTTTCAGTTATACCCAGTGTCCTAAATCTTGACCAAAATATCCAGGGACCGGTCCACCTCCAAAACAGTTATAACAAGACAAATAACTTGTCCATCTTTTGTTGACACCTGTGAATCAAGGGCAGATCCAGAGATATTTTCTAACAGTCTTCCAAATTATCTTTGTTAATTTGTCCTCAATTTTTGACCGTCTTCCGACAGAAAATATTAGATACCCATCAATGTTAACTTAAAAATCTGACTGTCTTCCGGAAGACCCAGAAGACGGCCTAAATCCGCCCCTGTGAATGATACTTAACAAGTCCCGCGACCAGCTCATCGGTCATATGGATCACATAATTGTTGTCAGCCATTAAAATGTTTTCCTTTGGTGAAGTTCTTTAGCATAAACGTTGTCGGTGCTTTGGTTCAGTGTATTCAGTACCTAAATGAAGTTCCTGTGATTATGTCTGGTTTGAATCCAACCGCACGCAGTTCAAGTAACTGTCGTCAGTCATTAAAATGTTTTCCTTTGGTGCTGTTATAAAGCTAAAGGCTGTCAGTGTCAAATTTAATGAAGTTTCTGTAATTGTCAAGTTAGTCATTGTCACTGATCTTTATAAAGTCTAGCAAAGGACAGTTTGACTTGCTTTTGTTGTTGGCCAGTAATGGTGGAACATGAACCGCAAAATCATTCAAAGGCAGATGATTCAGATATATCAAAATTAGGTATTTTTATTTTTGCTGAAAATTTCCGGTGACCAGTCATAAGCCAAAAAGATCAACTATCCTATCTCCTTATTTGCCATCAATTATTTCTTTGACTGTCCATAACACCAAAAAGATAATTAGTCATCAAACACATTTGCAATAGAATTTCAAGGGCAAATCAAAATGATTGGTTTTTAATTATTCTAATCTTATCTTTTTTTCTTGGAAGGAAGGGAAAGAGTCCATCAAAACCATACAACTGTTTTCACTGTGACATCAACTATACCCAATCAATTTTAAACATTACATTAATTTCTACCATATTTAATCCTAGAGTCACATTACATCTAGGGCCACCAGGACCTCTCCTTCCCCCTGACAGCCATATGCTCCCTAGTCTCATCCTCCCAAAAACACAATGCCACAGAGTCAGCTGGCAACCACAGTAAATTGACTTCTAATCCACTGTCTCTCTCTTTTACCCCTAATCTTATTTTACCCCGTTTTAGGCTAATGCTCACCCCAGGGGCCTTAACTTCATTGTCCCCGCCCTTTTTTCAACTCATTGGGTTTAACCCCCATTCCCCAATACTTCTTATGTTCGATTAAATACACGAGTCCATTGGAGAGGGATTAAAAGATACTTAGCAGGGATTTAGGGCCAAAGTCGGATCAAAGATGAATAGTAGTTGTATAAATTACACTGATTCTGTAGTGGTCAAACACAAGGGACAGGTATTGACTGTCCAAGTTATTACCTAAATATTAAATAGTATTGAACCTGTCAGTGGTTCAATTTTCTAAGCTAACTGTTGTGATTCGAACAGTTACAAGGAGGACGAGCTTTCAAAATAAAACGGCACTTGAGATTTGACCACTGATACAACAACGCTCCATGGGTTCTGGAAGCACCTGCTAACAATGGCATCATTAGTGTGGCGTTCAACAATATCATCTTCTTTAGGTTGTCATATTTAACAATATATATCTACACATACTCAGAGATGACCAATTAACAAAGATATCACTGGTCAGCGTTAATGGTCAGCTGGAGGCTTGGCATTAATACTGGCATCCTATTGGTCAAGGCAGGCTCTGGTCAGCTAAGCTAGGACACTGGCTGTGTTAAGCTTGAGGTGTTTAAGTACATAGGGGGACTGCATGCATCTTCACTGAATCATTAGATCCCTGACAGCACTGAAGACATATCATATCTGTCAGGTAGTACGAGGTTACGGAGGGCAAACCAGGGAAGAACTTATAGTATTAGTTATTGAAGACTGATCTGGTCTAATACTGAAAAAGATAGATAATTATTCAGAACAATGTATTAGCTTTCTAAAGAAAGAGATAGAGAGAATAATAGGACACACCTTATGAGGACTTAGCTGGATTATTTCCAAAGATAAATGGAAACTGGATGTTAAGACGAGATATTTTTACCTTTGTGCCAAGACTTACCAGGAACACACAGATATTGGAATTATTACTGGAGACTGCTACATCAGGTGAGAGGTTGTCAATAACAATGCTATATTAGTGTGATAAATAAGAAAAGGCAGAGCTTTCCAGGTAAATAGTCCTACACTGTGTGTGTGTGTGTGTGCGTGTGTGCGTGCACAGCCATGTGCAGGTGTCATATTACCCATTAAATGGTTTAAAATCGAAAAAAAAAGTTGTCCAATTTTTTCCTTTTTTAAAAAAATTTTGTACTTCAAAATATTTCTCGCTTTTTTTTCAATAATTTGGTACCCTGTTGATAACACGATGCCTCATATAAAAATCAAACCCAAATCAAAGTTAATCAACCCTTGCATCAAACTGGTTTAATTAAGCCTAGGCCATACCTGTATTACAAATCCACCTTTGGGAATTTAATTAGCCTGGATTTAATCAATGTTTCTGTGCCAGAAACAAAACCCAGAGACTTGCAGTAGATTCAGTGTTCTGTGGATAAAAAATGGAAAGGAACTACGGTATTATTAGACAGGTCAAAGGGATGTGGGAGATCTAGACA